TAAAATAAAACATTTAAGACAAATATTTTATAGTACCTATTTATTTTCTACAGTGCCTAAGCTATATTATTATTTGTTATGTAGGATTATATTATTAAATTTTAAATATGAAAAAAATAATTAGACAGCCATTTTATTCAAAATATTTCGTTCAGTTGTTCAATAAAATTATTTCAATGTTAAATTGAAATTTTGTTTAAAATTATTAATGAGGGGGTGTGGGTGCGTAGCCTCCACCCCCACGGCTTTGGTTCATAAGAAAAATCGTAGCCCCCCCCCCAAATTTTTCTATGGATATCCGCCAATGTATATATAGACTGTACAATGTACATATCCTTTATACTGTCATACGGCTGCCTGATGGCTAATGCCAACATTGTTAGAAAGACATTATTAAAACCCAAGCATATAATATCATTGTATACTGTGTCTATATGCTATCATTTTCTAAGCGCGTTCCTATCTTTTTTGTTGAACTTTTTTCTCTCTCTCTCACAATCAATAGATAATGGATATAGTTGGAGCTCGGAAGCCTCTTTTCTACCAGTCCATTCCTATATAGGCGTATGCAGTTGGATCATTGAATTCTATTACAGGTATACCATTATCCACTTAGACCTCCCATCCAAAAACTAAATGCTAAAACTGATTCAAAAGTCGTAAAACACATTAGGATTCTCACACCCATACATTACKATCCATAGTGGAAAATGTAATTGATAAAATGTATTTATATTGTATTCAAAAACCGTAACCGTAAGAGATTGATTACAGGTTTCTCACAAAATCGATTTCTCCTACGATGGGTACTATAAATATCGTTCTCTAACAGTAAACTATATTTTTGTTTTCGATTCCCGTTAGAAAACGGTGACGTCTACGTCTGGGGATCGAACAGCGACAGACAACTAGGATTAAACTCGATTGACGAAGATTCGGTCAACGTCAGTGTGCCGACCATTGTGCCAATCGCCCTGCCCGTTGTGTACATATCGTGCGGGCACAATCACACCGCGTTCGTCACAAGTGAGTAAAAAAATACCTATCGAAAAATTGTTCTGTTGATATATACATATAATATAATATATTATATATGTGTTACAACTTTACAAGTAATATTAACATTTGGATAAAGTCGACATTTGTCGGATAATACAACATTAGCCAACTCTTAACATTAACCGGATAATATGATATCATACACGAACTTTTCGATAATGTCTTAACATCCATACAAATGTATAAAATCATTTTAAATTATTAGCAATATTGAATATGCTTAAAACRCGATTAGTAATTACCATAAAATTTACAAATAATTAACATTATAGTAAAAAATAAAATGTATTAATTAAATTAAACTATATATTAAGACATATCTTTATATTTCTGGATGTTTGAATACTGTGGTTTATACAGATCCATCTGTCAATGTTCAGGATTTAAAACCAAAATACAGGTAGCATATGATATTTTAAGTTAGGACTAAAGCAAGGCGGAAACTTTGGCTGCATTTTTTAGGTTACTTGAATCATGTTTAAAACATAACGGTGAAAATTTTGAACAATTTATAAGATAAATTTAGTTAGTACATTTTATTTTTTATTATAGGTACGATTAATATTACTTTTATCAGTATAAATATTTTGTTATACATTTAATTAATACAATTGACTAAATATCATACTCTAAAAATAATGTTTAATTATTTCACTCTTATTTTATTATTTCCGGTGGTTATAAATCAATATTTCATTAAACCCGAATTATGCATAAATCAAAATTTTAACTTACTCTAACTTGGTAAATAGAAAAAACTTTTGATACGAAAAATGTTTAAAAAAAAATAATTTATCCGAATATGTAGAAAAAAAATAGTGTTTCCATTTAAAAAAATGTAAGTTGTATTTCGCATGCACACMCCAAAAATGTTCAAAATTTGAAATTTATCTGAAAATATGTATTTAAGTACTCCCTATCACCTCCCGAAAACCCCATTTAAATACAAAGCCTTCCACCTGAGATATTTAGTGTTACCTTAAATCGTAATCACACTTGTTTACTTTATCGGTAAGATATAACTGATTAAATCGGTAATAGGTTAATTAAGATAATATTATACTCTGGAAATCCAACGCTTCATGGTATAAAATGCTATAACAAATCTATTTAATATATAACTTTTAATATTATCCAATATTGACTGGTTAAAGTTAATATATATATAAACGAAAAATTATTCATTAGCCAAAACGAATGGCTAATGTCGACTTTATTCAAATCTTATAAGATATATATCGTCATTGATAGGAACAAACATTCTATGCGCAAAAACACGAACTTCTATGAGACGAAATAAACGTTTTAAATAAAAAAATTCACATAGTCCATATTTTATAAACGATTGATGTTTGGTAACTCATAGGAGAATGTATTTATTATTTTTCATCAATTATACAATGCAGATAGTACATAGGAGATTTTATCCATAAATAGATTTTTCTCTGAATCCAGGGATAAATAAATAATGATAATAAAAAAAATAAACAAATCATAAATTTGGTACTTTTAGGGAGTTTATTCTCACAACGACGATATTATAGTAGGTAGTATAATGCGATATTGGAGTTTTTTTAATGGTTTCCATTATTTTTTTTTTTTTGTGTAAACGAGCATCAACAATTAAATAGAAACATGTATTTCATTTAGCTTCTTAACTATCAACTTGTACTGAAAAATTTCCCTGAAGCATTGTGCACATAACTAGTCGAAATAATGCTTCAATTTCAAAGTTAGTGATTAAAAAATTATAAGGATACATCATAGGCACAATTTTTTTTTATTARCATTTGAAGTTCAAATATTGACAAAAATTCGTCAAAACCATGAATATTTTCAAATTATTTTGTAGTTCAAAATTCATAAAATTGTTTGTATTTATATCTAAGGTTAAAAAGTTCAACATTAAGTTTTCCATAAGTTTTACTTCAAATAATTATAGAGAAAATTTGAAGCGTCATTATAGGAAAAATGTTTTGAGCGTTTGAATTTTAAATTTTTACGAAATAGCTTAACGATAACGATTTATCCTCAAACCAGGTATATGCATATCTATGATAATATAAGGWATTATAAATTATGATAACTACATGCAATGTTTTTGGAAAAATTGATTAACCATGCCTTATGCCAGCGGTCCCCACTACGCGGCCCTTTAGTAACTTTAGTGCTACCCGCACTATTGGAAGTAATGATAAGTGAAAAAAAAACAAAACTGTAATTATAAAAGACGGTTTAAGTGTTTTTTAAGAGACAACCTAATGATATTGATACTGAAATGTAATGATAATATAATGTAATGTATAATAATAATGACATTTATTTTTTTATTATTTTTATTAATTTATATTTTTAATATTTTTAATCAATATAAATCTAAATATTATATCCTTATATAAATAGCTTAACATATATCAAAATATTTACTTACTACCAATTTTTTCCCGGGACTCGACTTACCTACTATCAGTTTTTCCCGGGACTCAATTTACCACCTTCAAAATATACCAAACTATCTCGGACTCAATTTACCTAGCCCCTTATTTACAACATATCCTAATATGACAAAATAAAAATATACATGAATATATTATGAGAGAATGGAAAACCCCATTGCAGTAGCACATTTAAAGTATAGATATTAAAATAGTTAAAATAGTATAAACAAATAGTTTATAAATGGTATAAAAAATATCCGTAAAATGGACATAATATTACAATTACCTTAGTGACATCATTTATCGAACTCTCCTATCTCTATATTATAATATATATTGTATTAGCCATTATGTCTGTTGTTAATATATTACAATTATTATCATATGTTATTAAACGGTGGTGGTTTTCAGGAATCGGAGACTTGTATACGTGCGGTGATAAGGAGTATGGAAAACTTGGTCATGGCATGTGGTCACTAAGCCGGGTCGACACAAACGAAAAGATTGTAAGAGTAGCTTGCGGGGCTAACCACACGATCGCATTGAATGGTAAACAAAATCATCACTATTAACCGTACATAAATCGTCCATTACTACAGCAAGTAATTGATATAAAATACGTTAACGTACAACATCCGTATTTATAATACCTAYACAAATTATTTTTTTAATAATAATAATATTATAGTAATAAGATATTTCAATGTCAAACTGACCTTATAGACGCAGGAAAAGTGTTTGTTTGCGGTAACAACGACTGTGGACAAATAGGTTTGCGGAGCGTCACATCACAAGGTCATCTGTACCCTTGTCCTATTACCAACGAACCGATCGTTCAGATTGTGTGTGGACAGAGCCACAGTGCTTTTATCACCGGTAAATAATTTATATTTACATACTACCTAWGCACCTTTATAATATATTAAGCACAATTATATTGTTTTTTGCATTAGAAGTTAAAATTTTGTCGAAGTAGAAAATTCAAATAAAAAAAGATTTTTTTYCACCAAAAATTTTAGTTATTAGTTGTTTTGTCATACCTAATTAAAAAAACATTCATTGCGYAGGCTTGAAATTTTCCGACATTTCTTAAGTATAAATATTAAATATTATAATATATTATTATTTTCTAAACACAATAATATTTTAAAAGCATTCAGGTTAATTTTAAGATAATAATACCATGAACCTATTCTACTATGGCAGCAGATCGAGTTATACAGGGTGATCTATTTAAGTGGGTACACTAATTATCTCGAAAAGTATTAACTATTTTTTTTTTTTAATTTTCTAGATTTACGTTTTCCTAAAACCGTATGATATTTTAATTTTTTTCACCCTTATATTTACTAGTGAAATAACTATCAACTTTTTATTTTCAAATGGTAACATATCATAAAAATAAAAAACCATTTTTTAAATGAATTTACGAGTTAACGTTTTTATTTTTCGTTGATTGGTCTGCGAGATACAGCTCCTCAAAGAGTACTTCACACTTATTACAATGACCTACTAATATTGATATACTATTTTTATTTTATTTTTTTGATATAAGTGATCAAAACCTGAATAATCTGAATAATAAAAGTACATGTGAATGACTATAGGAATAATTGGCATAAAGATTAAGAATAGGTACACATGAAAAGTTGTAACAGGTGTAAACGAGTACAAACAAAGATAGATCCCTGGAAACAATTATAGACTATTATACGAAAATAATTTGTGGAAGAAAAATGTTTATGCGTCATGCAAAGAGGTCATGATATGAATATAATATGTAATCAAAARATTATGTTTTGTAAGGACAGTGTTATAGGTAGATTTCAGTGTCTGATCGTGTATGCTCAACACTTTTGGAGATTTCCACTTTACCATCCGACACTAGAGAGATTCCCATTTAACAGACGAAGTGTCATAAAAATCTAAATTTTCGGTGCAGGCATGACAAAAAATATTTTGTAATTTAAATTTGTACGTTTATGTTTTAATCACTATCCACTACATATGCATGCGCACAGGGTATGCAGGGTATGCCACTGCATAGTCTGCGGGATTCACTTGAAGGGCCCATATTTATCATAACAAAGCATTTTTGATAATATCTGTAAATATAGTAGGTATTTAAAAAAAATGTATTTTTAGTTTTAAATTTTCTCGTGACTAGCAAGTTAATCCAAACTATAGACGTAACAACTTTATAAATATATGTTAAAATTATTTAAAGACWTYCMAWAYAATATATACTTAAATTTAAGAAATAATAGATTTTCTTTTAATAAATATAATTCAAATTTYAAACTACTTATTTCTRCAATGCATTGTTTAATATTCTACTGTAAAACTATGTGTGGTTTTAAATTCTGAGAGAGCAAAGAAGGTATAAGCAGTATATTTGAAAAACTTAGATTCTAAATTAAGCCCTATATGTGGTAAAAGAAAATGTTTAACGGCTCAGAATCGTTTTTTAGAATAAATTATTTATTCTTTCTTAAAATCCAATAAAATTATATTAAGTATCTTAGTTACAATATAGGTTTGGTGATTTTAATATAAAAATAAAATACTTTATTCAATATCTGTTTAATTTATTTTTAGCGAGTGGTAAACTATTTATGTGTGGTGACGGAAAATACGGAAAGCTCTGCATAGATGTCAATCAAATAACAACTCCAACGCTCGTGTTAGAGTTTGTAGATAAAAATTTAAAAGTACAGATGGTATGTTATTAATTTTTATCTATAAATAAATAATTTAAATATAATAGAGTTTAGTGTTTTAAATGTTTTATAGGTCAGTTGTGGAGGAAACCATACTTTAATTCACGCTGAGCCTATCGAGAACGAACACGCTAATAATAGCTTACAACAAATCAAATCGTCTGACTCATTGCCTCCATTAAGGGTTGTGAAAAAGAAAATCGAAGAGCGAAAAGAAAATATTGAACCGTTTCCATCGATTACTCCAGCTAATGATAACGATCTGGAAGTATTGATCATAGTTAAAGAAAGTGTAAAAGTAATTATATATATTATATACCTATATGCACGATTTTCTTTTATTTCAGATAAATATATACAGAATTGTTTGTTTTATTAAAATTATTAGGAAAAGAACACAAATGTGAACGAACAACAAAATAATGGGGATAAAAAATCATTCAATGATAAGATACCAAGTAAAATATTCTATATCTATATTCATATAAAATTATTATAATTACATATATTTATAGAATAGAATACATTTAAGATTGCGGAGCGATGAATGTATTTATTTTACAATGTCATGTGTTTTTTTTTTTGGTGTGTGTACACGATAAGTTGTCGAAATCGGAAATAATGCTTCGATTTTCAACTTCAGTAGCTTTTCTAGTTAGAAATTGAATTTAGTTGTGCATTGAGGAGGTCAAATTTTGAAATTTACAGTAGTATAACCTAATATATTATCACAATCGTAGTTAAATAATATTAAAAATACATAGTCACAATTTTTTTAACAAGCATTGAAAGTTCAATGCTTGATAAAATGCTTAAAAATCACGAAAATTTGCAATTTATTCTGAGTTAGAAATTCATTAAAATTTATCTTTTTGAATCTAAGATTTAAAAACTCAATACAAGGTTCTTCATGAATTTATCTACTTTTATTAMATAAAAAATTTTTACCGGAAAATCAAATTAAATTTTTATGAGCATTTAAATTACAACATTGAATATTCACTCAATTTCTCTTGTACCGATATTCTTATTTCGTTGTTTTTCAAAAAATGAATAACTGTAGAAACTGGATATTTACAAAATATGTTTATTTTATCAATTCCTATACTAGATAAAAATTTTAAAAATATTCCAATGATTTTTAAGTTATTATTAGTCATTAGATATTCCTTATAAAAAATCCAGCTTCATTAATCATCCTTGGTAACCCTCCTCATTGCCTTAAGCGTAAATGGTGCAGAGACCTACTAAATCAAAAAAAAACAAAAGAATAATTGTTAAAACAAAATAATTAAAAGACGTAAGTGTCATCAGTGGGTGGCTTCTTCATTCAATTTTTTCATTCTCCCTTGTCATTAGCTCATACTCTTATTGTGCCGTGGCTATTGCGTATATATATATATAGATTGTGTATATATTAATAAAGAAAAAAAAATTATTAGACATTTGAAATTTTCCGTTTTTTATTTTTTATTCTATACATTTCAATAAAAGTACCTATATATATTTTTTTTTTTTTTGAAATAATTAATAAAGTATAAACAATAAAATATCCTAGACTGACAAACTTTTTTTATGACAACATACATTTTTCATTTAAAATGAAATATTATTTTGATGATTAAAAATCAAATTTTGGACGAATAGTTTAGAGTAGTAAGTAGTAGTATAGTAGACGATTAGTTTATGATTGTTAAGTATAAAAGTTTAAATAAGTCGCACTCCTTATTCCTCTGAGATAATAATATAGTTCAAATAATATTTTGTTTCAGTCTATGAAATTAAAAATATGTGTTGTCGTTCAAAAAGTTTAAAACTATGAACTTACAAATGTTGAGCCCTGCCAAACCATCTAACATCTGCATTATAAAATGCATATAGAATCCCGATTTATTAAACTACCGTCTACAAATAATGAATAAAAAATTAAATTAGCTATTACCAATGATAACTTCTTATAATGCCACTCACGCATCTAAATATTAGTTATTAATTATTATATAATATCATCATAATTACTTATTGTACCTAAAAATTGTACAGTTAAATAATATATGAAAAAAATTATCTTATTTAATTACAATTTTTGCTAACATAACTTATTATACCACCTTATTGTGGACTACTTTTATTAGTTAACAATAGTAAGTTTTAGTGGTAAACATTTTATGTTATTTTTTATTAGTTTTCATTGAAATATTGTTTGCTTGTGTCTGATAACACAATATGTAATATTATTATAATTTTTTTGTATTTTCTTGGTTTGACCGTTATAAAATAACAATAAATGCCTTAATAAATAATATCCCTTAAAAATATTGTATCATGTTATTATAATACTATTTACAGGTAATAAGTAGAAATTAAGCAAGTATGTAAGTAATTAATGTAAATTTAATATGTAACGCCGGCTAATAATCATGTAGTTGATGCCATAAACAATTAATAATAATAAAAAAAAAATACTATATATTAAATATTATATATTATACCTACACCGGTTACCCCACGGTATTAATCACATATTATAATATTCATGTTTTTGCAGCGGGAATAAAAAATATAGATGGTGAAAAGGTAGAAAAAGAAGAAAATAAAGGAAACATGTTGGTTATTAATGAAAAAACCGAAAAAAAAGAAGTAAATAAATCAAAATATCCTAGAAATGAAAGAGTACGGGTAAGTTAAGACTATAAACCAAGCGAAATTCAAATTATATATTAATTGACAACATTATTAATTGTTTTTCATTTCAGTCTCGCATGTGTATAGTCATTTAAAATAAGATATAC